AATTATATATATATATATATATATATATATATAATTTGCAAAATATATATAATAGTATATATAGTATATATATAATAGTATATATATATATATATATATACTATTTATACATGTAATATTGTTATAATATACAATTTTCTGAATGGCATTAAAATTACATAAATATACGTTATCTGTAATATTCTTGTAATATTAAGTTAACGATAAATATTGTTTAATTGTGTATATATATATCATAATATCTTGAACAATATTTCTCATCCTTATATACTTTAATTCCCTAAATATCTATCATATTTTTCCTTAAAATATAGAATGTAAAATTATACACAATCTATATCTTATTTAATTTTTAATTAATTATTTAATAAGATAATTTAAGAAAATGTTAAAGTATTTATTATATATCCCGTTTTCCGAAAATAATATATAATAGAAAGTTTTTATTGCATAGAAGAATTCGGGACACATGTATATTCTTCGCTAAATTGGTCGACGCATTATAATGCGAGCTTTTAAAATAAACCTTGTCTTGTTTTTATATTAATAAATAGACACCCATGTGATTTGACTAAATATTCGTTTTCAATTCAATTTTTTTTATAATGTTATATAATAATTTAGTAAAAATTAGAACAATCACATTTTTATAAATCACATTCTACCGCGACATTACAACTGATGCAACCCGCACTAATCGTTGCATAATCGTTCTCTAAACATAACCGATGTATCTTAGCACAGACATATGATATTTCAAGAAAGTATTTTTATGAGATAGATATATATGTGTAGCTAGATACATTTTATACATTTACATCATTTGGAAGCAGTTTAAGTAAGCATTATTTAATGCAAATTAAAAAGTTTTTAATTAAAAAATTACAATTTGTATACACAATTAATTCACATAGTTTAAAAATATAAAACATAAAATAATAGCTGTATATATAAATACAAAAAATTCAGTCTTCATACATTTTTGGAACATATCACAATACCCACCAACGTACATCTTACATACATACAAATGCAAATGCATATATATTGGTGAAAAATAATAAAAGAATATAAATGTGATATTAATGCGTGTAAATGACAACACACTTGTTATGCACTTATGACCAGTGAACGATTTTGCATTATCCTATGTATTTGATCAAATTCTGAACTAGATGATTCTTTCAATCCCAAGTCTGTTACGTGGTGGTATATATTCTTACATTTTTTTTCACTGTTTCTATTATATATCCTGTTTCTGTTATATCTATATCTCTATATGCATGTATATAGTGTATATACATTCACATACTGGATTATATATATATGTATATATCTGTATGTACGAATGTAAGCATGCATTTTGTATATACATATATATTTATATTACATAAATATACATAATGTCATATATATATGTATATATTGTATACATGTAATTATATGTATATGTGACAAATTTTGATTTAGATATACATAGTCAGCAACAATTAATAAGTATAGTATTTTTAATTTTTCTGTTTCGGCAATATCAATCCTTTTAAAGGATCAAAGCTATTTCCGTCCGGGTGAACATGTATTTGAGTAGGTTTTTTATCATCTAATCTATTTACTAATAAAAATCCGTTATCATCGATTCCCTGTATTGTACCATTTATAACATCTTTACATGGCGGCGGTGCCGATAATACCGAAACCATTGAATTCCTAACAAAAAAAAGTATACAAATGTGTATACAAACATTGTCAAAATATCAGCGTGAACAAAGTAAATTATTCGAAATTACTTACATATGCAACCAATATTCGTAATAGAGAGTCTGGAACCAAGATAGGCTTTGTTTGCTTTGTATCTCATCTATTAACTCTTCCAGTTCGTCAAATACAAATGCGAAGAATTCCTCGTATTTAATTAGTGGAGTGTTTTTCTTTTGTTTTTTATTATAAAACTTAATCAGACTATTAATACACGTTGTAGGTACGTCATTGTCGAGATTTACGCCAACACCTGAAATACGCGTTCGTACATTTACTTTGAATAAATTAAATTATTCAATATTATTATTCATAAAATTTTTATTAATATTGTCGTTGTTTGGTTTACCGATGTTGCAAATATACAATGAGTCTTCAACCGTAGTAGAAATGAACGTGCCACCAATTTTGATCTTTTTATAGGCATATATATCATTAGGCCACTTCAGTCTAAGATTAATATCCTAAAATAATAAATTATTGAATACATTAATTGATTTAACTACAATAATTACCATTTACTAAAAAATTATGTAAAGATGTGGAATTTTTGTAGAAACTATAAGATCAAAAGAGCAATAAAAAAAGAATTATAAGAATACCTCGTATTCTGGTCTCGACTTTATAGCTGATATAACTGCTACAGTAACAACATGTTGTAGAATTGTGATACGTTTGCCGAGAAATGAATCCTTAGGAATGTGAACTTGTACGGTAAACATAGCACAACCTTTTGGACTAAGCCACGTATTACCGGCTCGTCCTAAAAAAAGATCAGTGATTATAATTTTTCTGCATGTACATACAACAAATAAACATGAAAAAAAAAAATGGAAATAATACCGATTCCTTTTGTTTGCTGTCGTGCGATGACCGCCAAACCGTGTTCGAGTTTGGTGCCAGTTACATCCATAGACGACGTTAGGACATCCGAGAATATTACTAAACGACCTATTTTCTCTGTGTGGAGATTCTAGAACAATGTTTAATTCTCATTAAATTTAGTCCTAAGTGTTGAAAACTATCTTCCTTTTTAAAATTAATTAAATTAATTTAACTATGTTGATAGTTATATGTAATGCAACAAATAAAATAAACTGCTAAATGTGCACAAAGTATAATAGTAAAACTTACATCAAAATATGATACGGTATTGAATCCAATTGGACACATATACATCAAAACGGGAAGAAAAGTACATGATGCAGGTACATTTGCTGCTCTGGCATGGCAAAACCGGACGCTTAATTTCGGCATTTTTAACACATAATCCGGTATAAATTTACTCTTCAAATTTTTCAGCATTTCTCTTTTTTTCTACAAATATAACAAGATGCTTACACTTTCAGAATGTAATAAATTGTAAAATCTTTAAATGCTAATTATATCTGTAACGATTGCCATTATTTTTAGGACTGTTTATTGTTAAGTATGTAGACATACCTCCACTAGGCCTAAAAAGTAAGCTGGAGTATATTTTACAGGTGGTTCATGAGTTATGTCCAACTTAAATTGGTTTTTAAACAGATGACGGACTATTTCGAAACGCGCATTGTCACTCCTTTTGAGCATAGCGATACTCGTCTCCTCGGTTGCATAATGCGTTGGATCTGTTTCTAAATGAATTTGGGAGAACACTATTTTACCGTTGGTGGTAGGTAGAGTTGCGAGCAATAAACTTGGATTGTGCCACGTTTCTTCTCTACCCAATTCTATCACACTAAATGTATGTGACTCATTTTGTTTATCCTTAACTTCAATTATCGCCGGAAGTTTTAGTTCAGAAGCTCTGAACGAAAAAAAATCGTGTCTTAAATGTTTTTTTACATCTGTAGTTAGTTCAATACTGTTTCTTTCTTTTTTTTTATAATTGCATTATTTAATAGACAGAAAAAATTTATTACCTTGCTTCTTCATTTCCTTGAGAAAAACGGGCTCGTACGGGAGACGCTTGGTAGCAAAAGATGTCGTGCACCATATCGATATTTTTAAATGTATCGTACGAAAACTTAACGAGTTTGCTTTCATACACTTCTGCAGTCTTAAATATTGGTATTAGGGTGTGCAGCATGTTGGAGCAAAGTGCAAGAAGTTTACCCCCTCGTACGACGTATTCTACAAGTTGACGAATAATTTGCGCATCAAAATTGCCGGCAGCAATAACTAAAGCGGCATCATCTTTCCAATTATTCGAGTGAGCATCGTTTGTTGATAATGTGTACACAGTATATCTAAAAGAGACAAAACAATTGTTTGAAATTAATCATTTCGTGTACAGAAAGGGTTTGTTCAAACGCGTGTTATAAAATTTAAACAACATACCTCCATGGACTTACTATATGCTCTACCAGATTCTTTACATTACGCATGTTTTCTTCACAGTCCGCATAAACAAGTATATTTGATGATCGAGGTATTCGATCGAAACTGGAATTAATATAATATTCGTATAATTATTGCATTACATTTGGATTCTATTATATATTTTTCTGCATCATAAAACTTCGTTGCGGTAATTGTCGAAAGATGAGAATGGGTCATTCTAAACTTTTTAACTTATAAAATTTGTTATTTTATCGCGATCGTTAATAAAAATCGTATTCTACGTGCTTACATGAGACTTTGATAAATTTTTGCCAAATTATTCTTGCAATCTCAGCAAAATTTTAGCCACTTAACATTTTTTCTATATAAAAAATTAATGATAATACGTTGCACAGTCGAATTTGATATTTGTTTGCTTGTAGCGACAAATACTGAGCGATCATAAACTTGAAATATATCGTGAAATGCCACGAAAAGCAATAAAATATCATAGAATATTCAATATTATGTGTTACCATATCATGTTTCAATATTTACCGCAAGGATGCAAAATCTCCTTTATATAAGAGCCACTCTCATAATGATCAAAATAATATCTGCTTATTTTAGAATATGTATACTCACTCACTCATTTTCTCACACACACTCCCTCTCTCTCTTTCAAAAATGTACTTACATTTCTGATTCAATTGTGTCTTCCTCAGCACTAGACATACATTTCCCTGTAAATCAATTTGAAAGAAAATAATTTAAAAATATACTTGTAAATATACTGACAAATTTTACACTATGCGTAATGTTGTCTTACCGTCCGAAGATTCACCAGAGTCTTTATTTTTTGGAGACGGGGGGCGATTGTCTTCTTTTGAAGATGGGGGAGGACCATTTTCTTTTGAAGATGAAGGACCATTTTCTTCTGAAGATGGAAGAAGACCATCTTTTGAAGATGACGGGACATCATCTTCTTTTGACGATAAGGGGTCACCATCTTCTTTTGAAGATAGCGGGGCACCATCTTCTTTTGAAGATAAAGGGAGATCAACTTCTTTTAAGGGGGAACTACAAGTACTTGTACAAGTAACATTTTTCTCTTCATGTAAGTCATCACTCTTTGAAGAATCAAGTATCTTACATTCTTGCGACAGATGATTCTCTAGGCAGGGTATGTTACATGGTACAATTGATTTATCCGATGACACAACAGCTGAAAAGATAAAGCCAAAAAGTGAAATTATTGCAGTATACTATATTTCAAAATGCAAATACGATACGTACATAATACACGTATTAAATTTAAGCCGTTATTAATATAATATTGTCCTTGCATCACCGTAATTAAAAAATTTGTTATATGATCAATATCCGTCTCTAGAATAAAATATATATATGATTTATCTGTTGTGAACGATACAATTAGACCATAATCTTCCAGCTGAAATAACACACAGAATTATTCACAAAGTAATAACAGTTATGTAATAATGTGTACAGAAAAGACAGCAATAAAAACTTGAATACTATACTTTTATAAAGTTTGATGAGGCCGGGGGGTAAATTTTACGCTCAGATTGTACAAGAAAGTGATATTTACGTTCAGATTCATTTGAAATCTTAAACAAATTATTTGAACGCAAGGGGATGAGTCACATTTCCAAGCGGAAAAATAGACCATTGTGCTAAAGTAACGTTTTGCTAATAAAGTAATAGTATAATATTAGTCTTGCTGTATTGCATATTTATAAAAATGAGTAAAATAGTGCGTCTAATATACATACTTGAGGATATACAGTATATAATTCCCTATCTGCATGTTGCCATAATGATTCTTTAATTTCTGCATACCTCCAGTCAGAAACGGTAATACATGCAGTAGGACTTCCAACTATATCATCTGATTGCTCTAACTCAATCGATTCTTGAAATCATTGTAAAATAATATATTATTAATTTAATATGTTTTTTTTATAATAATAAATCAGTATAAAGATATAACTATTACAGATATAAAATAGATGCTTTTGGCATACATTTATATAAAACTTTCTATTGATTGCAAAAAGATGTTTGAACAAAATAAAACATTTTTTAAACACGTTATCTACAATATTTGTTAAAATATCTACAAATTATATTGGCAGACATATAACATTATTGATAAGTTATGTAACAAAATCTATGGTACATTAAACGATATTTATAATTACCTTTCTTTTCTTCTACAAGTTTATGTTGAGATACATCATAAAATAAAATGGAATACTCTTCCTCCTTCAAACTATTGAGTAATTGTTTTTTTACAGATGATATCTTCTTTGATTGCACATATGTAGCAAACATATAAATCAATGTTATCAGCATTTTCAAATGCGTTATAATTTTCAAAATCTTTTACAAGGTTGTATCTTCCATAAAAACAGTCTTTGCTTTCTTCTGAAAAATAATAATCACTCTATGTAAGAACATGTAACATAAACACATTTAAGAAAGTACAAGTCATCTTATTTATAAAATATATATCTCTTCGAAGGAGGTCATGTGAGAGAGAAATAATATTTAATTCAAATCTAAACATATACGTTTAACAAGATATGATTAAGTATAATATATTATATAATTTTGATATAATGGTGAGTTAATTATACTTAAAATTACACAATATAACATTAAAAATAAAAATGATACACACTAATACTAATAAGTATGATATTAAATTTAAATCTAGTGATTTCAAAATAAAATTATTATGAATAATTCACTAAAAAATATAAAATATCGATTAAATATTTTTATAAAAATTGTCAAGATATTTTTTCCACAAATTTTTCAATTGAAAAATATATACATTACAATTTAGATGCAACAAACAGAATGATAACTGATTCTTTTTAAGTAACGTACTCGCAAATGATATGGGAAGACAACTGTAGTCAATAAAGGCAGAAACGCTAATAACTATCCATTTGAATCAGCAAAAACTTATATGTAATACAAATCTAAAGCTACACTTCGTCCTGCAACGATCCTCCTATACCGTGATCCACTACGAAACTGATCTTGCCACGCATATAATGTGCAGTAGAATATATTATAATAGTGCGCAGAAGCAGCATCGAAGCGAAATAGCGATAGGGTTTTGCACGCAGAACGCGTTGACCGCGCGGTCAACACGACATGCTAGCCAATCAATCTTATGTTTTTACGGTAAAGCTGTAAATTGATTGGCTATCGCTTGCCACGCGGCAAGCGCGTTACGCGTTCTGTACGCAAGAGCCCGTAGTTACGAAAGATTTTGTAAACAATCAAAGAAACAAATTTGAAATTCATATTTCACATTTCAAAACGAATAAATTACGTTTGCCCTTTCAACTAGTGGAGATGATAGTTTATTCAGATTTAAATTCATATTTTACAATTTTATGTAATGGAACATTTAAAGAATATATATCTACAAAATACGTATTGTTATGATACACGCATATATTTCGTACGGTATTTGTACTTTAGTCTTTGAAAATATTCTCTGTATTAGATTTCTAAAATCATAAATAGAATTCTGTCATAAATTCTAAATCACGCATGCATTATTGATCAAATTAGATGAGCAAATTGGAAACTGGACTTGTCTCGAATCATTCTGCCGCGTTTGCAGAACAAATCTAAAAGTCCCTAGGCTTTGTCGTTCACAGCTGTTGGCTGACTGTGTTATACTCTATGGTCGTGCTCATATATTCATATGTCAAGTGATTGTTTTGAATCGTTTACTAACACGTGTGTGGTAAGATGAGTTGCACCAATTTTTGCAGAAATATTATGAAGGAAGGTCGGATGTTAAGCAAGTATTTAAGAATCACCGTCGTTAAACGTAGTTATTCAAAAGCAGCGAGCACATTTTCAGAGGGTAATGAGAATACGACACATTTCGGTTTCCAAACAGTCGAGACGAGTGAAAAGACGAAGAAAGGTAAAGACTATTCATTTCTTCTTTATTTTATTACGAAAAGTTGATAAATGTTATAAGCGAGCTAAATATTTACTTTTTACTCTGTCTTTTTGTACTTAAACAATTTTTTTTTGTTATAAGCTTGATTGTACATATTTTATTTTGAAGAAAAATGTAAGTAGTATAGTTACAAATAACTAATCTAAGTTTTGTTTTAGCAATTCACATTGCGAGTATTAAATTTGATTCATGTTTCTTTTAGTGTATGATGTATTTGAGAATGTTGCCAATTCTTATGATAAAATGAATGATGCAATGAGTATGGGTATTCATCGTGTTTGGAAGGATATTTTTATACAAGAATTAGGCCCGACCCATGGTACCCATCTCTTAGATTCCGCCGGTGGCACAGGCGACATTACATTCCGGTATATAAATTTTCTAAAGAACACACCGAATCCACATAATATATGTAGCTGTGTAACTGTGTGTGATATAAACCAACATATGCTAGATGTTGGAAAAAAGCGGGCAAGTAGGTTGAATTTATTGCAGGACAATTGTGATGTTAACTGGAAGCAGGAGAACGCGGAAAATCTTTCCTTCGAAGAGGAATCATTTACAGCCTATACAATAGCATTTGGAATAAGGAATGTGACACATATCGATAAGGTGTTTGTAACACTTATAATCTATTAATTATTCATGTCACATAAAGCTATAAGATACATTACTTTGTTATATGCTTTGTCATATGTTATATAATATGAATTTCAAAACTTGAATGCCATGTTAATTTTTGTATTCTATTACATAATAAGGTACTGTCTGAGGCGTATAGAGTCTTACAGCCAGGAGGGAGATTTTTATGTCTGGAATTTAGCCATGTCAACAATAAAACCTTAAAATGGTATGTGGTTTAAATAATATAAAATTTTCATAATATATAAAAAAACTAAACTACAACAAAACTTCTTCAAATATCTGTTTCAGGTTATATGATCAATATTCCTTTCAAATCATACCTGTGATGGGACAATTGATTGCAGGACAATGGAAACCTTATCAATATTTAGTAGAAAGCATAAGGAGATTTCCAAATCAAGAGGATTTTAAGGTAAATTTTTTTACATTTTGTTACTTTTTATAAATTATAATAATAGGTTCTAGCATTATTCAATAATTTGTTTCAATTAAATTTAAAAAAAAAATTTGTAATATAGTTCTTACTTTGAATAGTATTTATTTTTAATTTTGGCATTTTTTTCAGTATATGATCGAGACTGCAGGATTTAGAAACGTGACTTATAGAAATCTCACGTTTGGTACGGTAGCTATCCACTCGGGATTTAAATTATAAACAAGATTTGAATATAGTTTGGTGCTAAAGTACAAATGAGATAAGTAGTAAAATTTTTCTCCTTAATAAGTATTACTCATTTTTCTGTTACGAAAATTGTATATTTTTCATCATTATAAAATTGTCCTAAGTAATAAATTATATAAATATTCGCGTCATGATTACTTTGTCATAATTTCGTCGCTGATTTATCAGCAGTTGTTCTCCAAAATTATATGTAATTTCTTTGTGATGTCAACGCGGTATTGCAGTAACTATTTTTCTGTATATTTGGACTACCGTTACCTGTCCAAGTGTGAAATTTGCTTGCCTACTGCGTAATCACTCTATGCCTGCAACCCACTGTATTGCGTAAGAGTCGTGCGACTCTTGGGTGCTTCGTACTTGAGGTGATGCGACCGACGGAGCCTATCGCGATTTACGTTACTACGCATTTCTACGCGGGTCATTTCCGCGGATCGCTCTCTCGTAATTCATGGACCTGGCGATGCGAAGAGGCACAATTCTGAGAAACGAGTTAAGTGGACAGTCAAAAGCGATTATAGCAATTTGTTTTTCAAGATTAGCCGCTTGAACTTACATAAATGTTATTGCGAATTTTAATTACAACTTGGATTAATTAATTTGCTTCAGTTACAAGGTACATTAGTGTTACAAGCGAACGACAAATGTCGCATACTCGTGTAAAATATCGAAGTATCACGAATATATGATATTTTGATTCAACGATAAAGAAAAAAAGGAGCACATTGGACGCTTTCTTCAAAGAGATATATGATCGAATTTGCATTTTGTGTCAGGGATACAAGAAATTTTAGAAAATCAAGTTATTGTATTGAAAGAATGGATTGATGGACTCGCGCTCGAAAGCACATGATTAAAATGACAGCGAGGGAAGGAAAGAGGAGACGTTACGAAAGAACAGGGAGCAAAAGATGGCAAGGAGGAAGCTTGAACGCACCGATAAGCGGCAGACGACCCAGTGGGAGAAGGTGTCGTGCCGCCGTTAACGACAACGACGGATCTCGAAGGCCGCCGTGGCAAGGGGAACTTCATTCTACGTGGCGTAATATCTACATGCGTCATGCGATGTGCTTTCTCTAGGAGGTGAAAATTCTTAACTTTCTTCGGCTATAGAAGCATTCCTCCCAATGCCGATGATGCCTGGTCGCGCTCCCACAGTACTTTTCAGTACTTTACTCGCGTCGGTTGGGTCTATTATTGACGCATCCTTTCCTTACTTCCCGGTGTTACCGGCGCCAACGATTCCGCTTCGATTGGTATTCCCGATACGTTATGTCATTCGCGGAAGATCAGATTTATGGCTGTATAATTATCGTTGGCACGAGAGTCCACACGCGTTTTCAAACACATATAAATCTTCTGAATATTTTCCATCCGAGCATTATTCCGCAAATTATGAATACAACATAATTGATTGCATATAAAGATTTGTCAAGATTTTATGCTGCAACATTAGCAGTTAATTACATTATAATATTGCTCTACGAAAAAAAAAGGTTTTTTTTAAACGGAAACCGAAACTCTCTTGAGATAAAGCGGGAAGATGAGTGATGAAATGAGAGATGGCTCTAACCGGAAGAAAGCGCGCGATTGATTGCACAGGACAAAGATGTAGAGTCGCGATGCAGCTTCTTGTACCAAGCGCATATATCGATTTTACTGACCCCGGCGACCGCGTGCCCCTTCCGCCTTGGATACTTCCTGGAAAGTATATAATGCCTCGCCACGGCTTCGGTCTACGGTTTATATACATCTAGCGAGAATTTGCGTTACATTATTATACAACACACCGCTTGAGAGAGAGAGAGAGAGAGATACCTTGCGTATGATTGTCTTCCTATATATATATATATAATTGACGAACTATGCTTTTAATTATATTTCTATCAAAATCTTGCGCGCGTCGTTACATGTTGAATACATTAAAGCAGCGATTTTTTTAATTATTTAGTGATCAGATTCGATGAAGCTCTAATAATACAAAATAATTCTGTTCGGTAAAATTTTAAAACATATGCAATCTATAGTATATTTACTTAAGTTTCATAGCGCGTGCATCATTCTGATCCATCATGTTATCTATGAATTTTTTATCGTATTATACTTTTTTCTCAAGTACACGATTTCTTGCGATAAAAATCGGGAAGCGAAACGATAACGAAAAACTAATGTCTCCCGATTTCGATAGCGTAATGCGGGCGTTGGTGTACATCGCGAAACCTCGACTTCGCGCACCAATTATTTCGTCCATTAAAGGACGAATCGTGTCAGCAGTTGCAGATTACATCAGCAGACGCGAGAATTACGCGATGATTGCACCGATTAATCGAGAGTAAGACGGCGCGCTCCGAGTCGCGCTATCGAGTTCCCAGGAGGTGGGATCCGAGGTGTTTCCGTTTCGCGCTGATGAGCTTGCAAAAGTTTTAGAGAGCGCTCGATCGGCACGGAGATGGACGATACCGTACGTCTCGATAACATCCGAAGGAAACTTATTGTCTTCCCGCGGCGCAGTTACATAATTATTAATATTATCTGTGGATCTCCAGAGTTCCAGAGCACCGAGCGTCGTAATTTGGTGACGCAATATATCTAATTTCTGCACTAATGACTCTTTGTACCGTTTTTCTGATAAAGATTTTCAGATATTTAAAAACGGTTGCGAAATTATCATACGCCGCGCGAAATTGTATGCGCGGTGCGCTTATCAGGTTCTTTAATATTGTAATACGCGGTAAATAAGGAACCGTACAATTAAGCTTGCGAAAGGCGCGTTACGCAATTCGCCTGTTGATTTAACCGAAACTTGCAAATGCTGGTTCTATTTAACGGAGCCTTTTGATGAGCATTCGACAACATTTGGATATTACTATCTAACGATAGTATTGGAAAGGAGAGAAAGTGCTTAGATAGAGATAACTTGGCACTCGGCGTCTACCTACATAGCGCTTCTCTTCGTGGCATTACAATTATAAGACGATTATCCGCGCGGAAATATGACGCCACAGACCGATCAAATCGAAAAAAAAAACAAGAAGAAAGAGGCACATCGATGCATTATATCAACGTCAACGAGTCTCACGTTCAATATTACAGCTCGCAATGTACACGCTACGTCATATTCATTTTCATAATTCACTCGATATATTCAAACGAATAGATTTGCTATTTTATTTTTCAATTTTTTTCTCATTATCGATGGGCGAAATAAGTGTGTAAATAAAGCCGTCGTCTCTCGAGACAAAGTCGAGTCGAAATATTCTCACGCAAATAAATGAGGTGCAAACCGGTCCGACGAAATTCGTACGGTGAAAGATACGACAGGTGATGAGATAATGACTCGAGAGAATGAAGAACGGTGTCCTCGGTTGCGCGCTTTTACTAAGCAGCCGCGTGGCCCGAGTAAGAGCGAAGGGGCATGTAATTAAACCGCGTAAGGCCCGAGATGAGCGGGAAAATTGTATCCCGATTCGTCGATCCCGCGCAATTCGGCCGGACGTCCCGCGATAGACGCTTGAAGGTAGAAAGGAGAAGGATCTCTATTCTCCAGCCGGAGAGACTGCCCGCCGTCCTCGAAGCATCCAGCCCGCGCAGAGAGTATTAATAGAAAAGAGAAGGAAGAAAAATTAGAAAAATGTTGACGCGAATGATTTAGATTTCTTCAATCATTACTTTTCTCGATTAAATCTTCCTGAAACGCGCTGTCCGCCGTTCGAATTTCGTCATCAAGTTTCTCGCGAAGCGAGTTACCACTTGCAAGTCGAGTTATTTGTAAGTCGTAACTCACTTGTCGAATGTCACGCGGTTTGACGCTATCTGAGGCCTGCATCTCGCGTTTCGCACAACGTGGCCAGCTGATCGTTGGTGATTTCGCCTTCGACCGCTCGGACGACCCTTTGTTGCTCGATATCGTTTCGCGGCTCTATTACACGGCGAAACGTACGGTACGGTATCGTGGTCGATCGAGCGAGTTCCCATTTCGTTCTTACCTTCGAGCGAGCTGTAACGAGCTCTCCTTACGTTCGGCTTCTTACGATCTGCTCGATTACCTCTCGCAATAAATATTGCACAATGTTAATTTATATGCCGTTGCTCCGCGGCAAGCGGGGAAAACTTCCACTCGCGCCTGATTGTTCGATATTTTCAATAAGGAAACCATCGATTCCTACATGGCTTATTATGTCGTATTTGCATTTAGAGCAGAGCAGTGAACTTTTTCGCGGACTGAAGTGCACACGGATTATATTGTTTCGGAGAGCGATCGGAGAGCGCCGCGTTATCCGCCGATCTCCCTCAATTTCACTATCTCGAGCGTGCGACTAAGGTTTAGCGTTTTGCCCCGAGAGAGAACGCGTAAAATTTATGAAAATATTCTACCATTATCATTATATTCTACGATACAAACGTATATGTGGAACAAAGTTGCGTTACGTACACACGGCGTTGCATAACGGTCGCGGAAAAAGAAGCGCGATGCGTGGCGTTTTACATTCGCGACGAGCGTATACGCTCGGGCGTCTAATTTGTCCGCCGAGCACCTGACGCAAATTATATTACATTTATGTTTCACGCTGCGCTGGTTTAGAAGCGATCAAAGTAATATCTGCCGATCAATATTTTTCCGTGTACATTGTAATAAAAAGTTTACACAAATCAAATGTAAAAATTACACGATGAATAACGCAGGTACGCTAAATAATCAGTGTGCAGTTGATAAAATTGCGTAAATTTGTAATATTTTATTTGTGTAAATTTTTCCAAGCTCTTCACAATGTATAATGTCGGATTTATCAGCGGAAAGTACAATGATTCTTCAGGCAGCATCCAGCGCGTCTGTTTGAAAGTATTAGAAAACTATTTACAAAGAAGGAATATTTTATAACCCGATGACGGCGAAAGCCGTCATCAACTAGTTTACTAGCGTTTTGAGGCGCATGACATTTCTCTTTAGAGCAGGCTATTAAAATCCGCGCCGCTAGTAAAAGAAAATTAAAAAAAAAGACATCGCGTAAATTACGCTTAACGGCAGATTCTGCAGATGATTCGTGCCGATAACTCTTTTCATTAATTCGCGCGGAGCTCGGTACGTGGATGTGTCGTTGGCGCGACTCTCTCTCGCGTGCTCGTCCTCGGCCTCGAT